TCAGCCACAGATTGTTGTGATCCACAGTCAAATGCTTTTGCATAGTCAATGAAACACAGACATTCTTCTGGTACTCTTTGCTTTCTGCCAAAGTCCATCTAACGTTGGCAATAAGGTCTCTAGTGCCACAACCTCTTCTAAACCCAGCTTATATTTCTGGTAGTACACTGGCAATGTACTGTTCCAGTTATTTCTGGATAATCCACAACAGGATTTTGCTACCATGTGAAATTAATGATATTGTTTGATAATTTCTACACTCTGTTGGGTCTACTTTTTTTGGAATAGAAATAAATATGGATCAATTCCAGTCAGTTGGTCAAGTAGTTAGTTGTCTTCCAGATTTCTTGGCACAACTTGGTGAGCACATCCAGAGCAGCATCTATTTATTGAAATATGTCACAACAGCAGTAACAACCATTTGAGTTAGGTACCATTATTCTAAACATATAAGCTGATAGCAGACAAGAAAAACCTAAGTATTTTCCTCAAAGTTAAATAACTAGGGTATGATAATGCATAGCCCTGAAGTAAGACTCAGAATCAGTGTGTAACCAACTATACTAAACTGCCTGTGTTTAAAAAATATCAATGTCTTTAAAATTACAGCATTGCCAGTGGTTGTCTCATTCTTTGACTTTTCTTACATTAAATTCTGTGTGTGTGTGTGTGTGTGTGTGTGTGTGTGTGTGTATACTGTTGAATTGGATCTGACTGGTACAGGAGTAGACTGCCCCTCCTCCAGCGGAGCATTTGGTGGATTTGAACCATGCACCTTTGAGACTGCAGCACAGCTTCTTGCTCTAGGCCACCAGAGCTCCCTTATATTCAATTCTTATGCTAAATTTTATTTTAATTTGGACATTTAAATTTAACTCACAAATTTTAAAATTTGACTTAAAAGTTTTCTAAATCTTTTTCTCAAAAGAACTATTTTAAACATAAAAAAATAGTAAGCATATCTTTAAAATATATCCTGCTCACTGGGGTGAGATGATATCTCATAGTTGTTTTGATTTGCATCTCTCTTAGAGCTAGGGACTTTGAACAC